AGGGAGCAGGATGATCTATTTAAGTTCAAACAGATATTCCAGCCTTCCCACAACACCTGTGATCCCAGTTACTTGGGAGGCTGAGACAGGAAGAGAATCGCTTGAACAAGAGGCAGAGGTTGCAGTCAGCTGAGATCCTGTCACTGCATTCCAGACTGGCAACAGAGCGAGACTTGGTCTCAAAAAAGGAAGAAAAAAAGACAATGTTTGCGAAGTGAGTGCATCACCTGTGATCAGGAGTTCAAGAGCGAGCCTGGCCAACATGGCGAAACCCCATCTCTACTAACATACAAAAATTAGCCAGGCATGATGGTGGGTGCCTGTAATTCCGCTTCTCAGGAGGCTCTGGAATGGGGAAATCCCTTGAACCTGGGAGACAATGGTTGCAGCTGAGCGGAGATCGCGCTACTGCACTCCAGCCTGAGCAGATGAGAGAGGAAATGTCTTAGTCTGGCTGGGTGCCCTGGCTAACACCTGTAATCCCAGCACTCTGGGAGGCCAAGCTGGGTGGATCACTTGAGGTCAGGAGTTGAGGCCAGCTGGCCAACATGGGTGAAACCCCATCTTTACTAAAAGTACAACAATTAGTAATCGGCGTGGTGGGTGGTGTCTGGCCCATCCCAGCTACTCAGGAGACCTAGGCAGGAGAATCGCTTGAACCCAGGAGGCTTTAAAGAACACAGTGAGCCAAGATCATGAGCCATTGCACTCCAGCCTGGGCAACAAAGCAAGATGCCATCTCAAAAAAAAAAAAAAAAAAATTGCACTAGCCCTGAGAAGTACCAAAGGTAGCAGAGGAGGGCCAGATTCAAAGCCTGAACTACAGAAGCCTTGGAAATGCAGAAGTTCAAGCACAGTTGTAGGAGATACTGAGAGTGGTAATACAGCCCAAGTGGTATCTTTGGGTAGACATGCGCAGCTACAGTTGGTGGAATAAATTTTCTTCTAAAGTGAAACTCCACGGTGAACCTCTTTAGTGCATTGAAGTAGACATTATGCAAACACTTCAAGAAAGGGCATGGTCTCAGCGCCAGCCTGACCGTGGGCACCCGGTGTGATATCTCAATACTATACCTGGCTGTAGGAAGAGTAGGTCGTGGCTGGTCAGCATTAGATAAAACAGTCAACAAAAGGCAGCTCTGGCTTATTGCCCATAGCTCATGGCAAGTCACTTCCTCAGCTGCTCCAGGGCCAACATCCGTGGAGTCATCCCTGACTCCTCCTACTCCACAACACCCAGCAGCAAATCCTGTTGGCTCCACTTCAAAATGGTTCAGGCCCCGAGGCGCTGTGGTTTCACCCCTGTAATCCCAGTACTCTGAGGGGCTGAGGAGGCTGGATCACTTCAGATCAGGAGTTTGAAACCAGTCTGGCCAACATGATGAAAGCCCGTCTCTACTAAAAATGCAAAAAAAAATTAGCGGAAAGGCTTGGTGGCAGGCACCTGTAATCCCAGCTGCAGGAGGCTGGAAGCAGGAGAATGGCTCGAGATCAGGAGGGTGGAGGTTGCAGTGAACCAGGTCACACCACTGCACTCCAGTCTTTGGCAACAGAGAAGGAGCTCTTTCTAAAAACAAAAAGAGATCCTGAACCTGGCCACCCTTGGCACCTCCACTCCTGCTACACAGTCAAAGTGGCACCCCCAGCCAGGCCTCCTGCTTTGACTCCCCTCAACCCACTTTCCTCCTGACAGCCAGGGGATCAGTTAAAGACAATGTTCACACCATTTTCTGCTCAAACCCAGCCAATAGCTTCCACCTCACACACACAGGGTGAAGGTGATGGCCTGATGGCCTCAAGTCTCTCTTTGTGGCCTGTGCCTGATTTGGCATGGCGGCCCTGACCTCGGACCTCCCACGGCTGGCTCTGCCCCAGAACCTGGTGGCCGTGTGTTTTGGGCACACCAGGCATAAAAAGGGGTTTCAGCACTTGCTACTGCTGGTCTGGAACGTCCTGCCGAAGATTTTTCTTTCTTTTTCTTTTTTGAAGACTTCAGACCTCTCACCCAGGCTGGAGTGCAGTGGTACAATCTGACTCTGCCTCAGCCTCTGGTAGCTAAGAGTTATAGGCATGCACCACCACACCCAGCTAAATTTTTATATTTTTAGTAGAGACGAGGTTTCACTATGTTGTGCAGCCTGGTCTCAAATGCCTGACCTCAGATGATCCACCTGCCTCGGCCTCCCAAAGTGCTGGGATTACAGGCGTGAGCCACCATGCCCAGCCACTTTGTGTGTGTGTGTGGGGGAGTGCAGTAGGGGGGATGGGGACCTTGCTCTGTCAAACAACTGGTGCAGTGGTGTGATCATAGCTCACCACAGCCTCGGGCACCTCTGGTACACATGTAATCTTCCTGACTCAGCCCCTGAATGCAGGTATGCTAGGACTACAAGCACACATCAGCATGCCCGGCTCATTGTTAAATTTTTTGTAGAGATGTGGTCTCACTCTGTTGCTTAGACTGGTCTCCACAGGGTGAAGGTGATGGCCTGATGGCCTCCAAGTCTCTTTGTGGCCTGTGCCTGATTTGGCATGGCGGCCCTGACCCATCTCCCGGACCTCCCATGGCTGGCTCTGCCCCAGAACCCTGGCGGCCACGTGCGTTTTGGGCACACCAGGCACCTTCCCCTGGGGTTTCAGCACTTGCTACTCTCTTGGTCTGGAACGTCCTGCCCGAAGATTTTTCTTTCTTTTTCTTTTTTTGAGACACAGACTTGCTCTCTCACCCAGGCTGGAGTGCAGTGGTACAATCTCGGCTCACTGCCACCTCAGCCTCTGAGTAGCTGGGATTATAGGCATGCACCACCACACCCAGCTAAATTTTATATTTTTAGTAGAGACGAGGTTTCACTATGTTGTCCAGCCTGGTCTCAAATGCCTGACCTCAGATGATCCACCTGCCTCGGCCTCCCAAAGTGCTGGGATTACAGGCGTCAGCCACCATGCCCAGCCCTATGTGTGTGTGTGTGTGGGGGGGGGGTGCAGTAGGGGGGATGGGACCTTGCTCTGTCAAACAACTGGTGCAGTGGTGTGATCATAGCTCACCACAGCCTCGAACTTCTGGGTACATGTAATCTTCCTGACTCAGCCCCCTGAATACAGTATGCTAGGACTACAAGCACACATCAGCATGCCCGGCTCATTGTTAAATTTTTTGTAGAGATGTGGTCTCACTCTGTTGCTTAGACTGGTCTCAAACTCTTGGCCTCAAGCAACCGTCCTGTTTAGGCCTCCCCAACCGCTGAGATTATAGGCATGAGCCAGCATGCCCAGCCCCTCTTGTCTTTTCTCAAATATGAATGTCATCCAGTTGGTGAGACCTTCCCTGACCTCCACTATCTAACAACTACAGTTCCTCACCCAGCATCCTGTTAGCCACTTTGTCTCCCACTTTTCTCTGTAACAGCACCAAGTAACACATTCAGGAGTTCCCTTGTCTTTTCTAGTGGTCTGTGTCCCATCACTGCAACGTAGGCTCCATGACAGCAGGGGCTTGTCTGTTTTGTTCACTGGGAGCCTGGTAAGATGTATTGGGTGAATGAGGCTGGGCACAGTGGCTCATGCCTGTAATCCCAGCACTTTGGGAGACCCAGTCAGGAGGATCACGAGGTCAGGAGTCGAGACCATCCTGGCTAACGTGGTGAAACCCCGTCTCCACTACAAAATACAAAAACTTAGCTGGGCGTGGTGGTGGGCGCCTGTAGTCCCAGCTACTTGGGAGGCTGAGATAGGATAATGACATGAACCCAGGCAGGAGCTCTCAGTGAGCCAAGTTCACACCACCACACTCCAGCCTGGGCGACAGAGCGAGACTCTGTCTCAAAAAAAAAAAAAAAAAAAAAAAGAGGTGTTGGGTGAATGAATGTGACCGCTGCCGGGTTCTGTTGGAGGGTGCTTTTTTTTTTTTTTTTGAGATGCAGTCTCTCTCTGTTGCCCAGGCTGGAGGGTGGGTGCATTCTGAGGGTGTCTTATCAGGGCCATGCCTGCAGGATGCAAGGGACAGCCAACAGCAGGAGGGCAATGCAGGCTCCCCATGCCCCCTGCTAATAAAAATATAAAAATTTAGCTGGGTGTGGTGGTGCATGCCTGTAGTCCCAGCTACTCGAGAGGCTGAGGTGGCAGTGAGCCGAGATTGTACCACTGCACTCCAGCCTGGGTGAGAGAGCAAGTCTGTGGCCTCAAAAAAAAGAAAAAGAAAGAAAATCTTCGGGCAGGACGCCCAGACCAAGAGAGTAGCAAGTGCTGAAACCCCAGGAAGGTGCCTGTGTGCCCAAACACACGTGGCTACCAGGGTTCTGGGGCAGAGCCAGCCATGGAGGTCCGGGAGAGGCTCAGCCGCCATGCCAAATCAGGCACAGGCCACAAAGAGACTCTTGAGGCTATCAGGCCACTACCTTCACCCTGTGTGAGGTGGAAGCCATTGGCTGGGTTTGAGCAGAAAATGCAGTGAAACATTGTTCTAACTGGATCCCCCTGGCTGTCAGGAGGAAAGTGGGTTGAGGGGAGTCAAAGCAGGGAGGCCTGGCTGGGGGTGTCACTTTGATCAGTGTAGCAGGAGTGGAGGTGCCAAGGGTGGCCAGGTTCAGGATCTCTTTTTGTTTTTTGAGAAAGAGTCTTCCTCTGTTGCCAAGACTGGAGTGCAGTGGTGTGACCTTGGTTCACTGCAACCTCCACCTCCCGGATTCGAGCCATTCTCCTGCTTCAGCCTCCCCAGTAGCTGGGATTACAGGTGCCTGCCACCAAGCCTGGCTAATTTTTTTTGCATTTTTAGTAGAGACGGGCTTTCATCATGTTGGCCAGACTGGTTTCAAACTCCTGATCTGAAGTGATCCAGCCTCCTCAGCCCCTCAGAGTACTGGGATTACAGGGGTGAACCACAGCGCCGGGCCCAGAATCCATTTTGAAGTGGAGCCAACAGGATTTGCTGCTGGGTGTTGTGAGAGTAGGAGGAGTCAGGGATGACCCACGGATGTTGGCCCCCACACCCCAGCCCTTGGGCGATGGATGAGACAGGTGCCACAGAGCAGCAGGCAGCACCCATCGAGGGCTCACGCATGGCAGGCTGCAGATCCCGAGCTCTTCCTTATGGGGGAGGTGACTGAGGCCTGGCGAGTCGCGAGGCACGGCATAAGCGGAGCCAGCAGTGCTTGGGGACCGGGCACACCCTCTGCAGCTGCTGGCCTGGGTGCTAAGCCCCTCACTGCCCAGGGCGGCGGTGCCCGGCCTGGCCCACTCCAAGTGCGGGGCCTGCCGGAGCCTGTGCCCACCGGAACTTCGCACTGGCCCGTGAGCACCATCGTAGCCCTGGTTCGCTCATGCCTCTCCCTCACACCTTCCCGCAAGCAGGGGGAGCCAGCTCTGGCCTCAGCCAACCCAGAGGAGGGAGCTCACGGTGCATTGGCAGGCTGAAGAGCTGCCTCAAGCACACGCCAGCGTGGATGCCAAAGTTGAGGAGCGCCGAGTGGTGAGGGCTGCTAGCACATTGTCACCTCTCAATCCCCCTCTAAACAGGACTGCTGTTGGGGTGGCTGGCGACCGCTCTAGCTGCTTCCTGCTGGATGGGGTGATGAAGGGGCCCTGCAGTTGTTGTGTCCTCCAGAAGGGAGCTCTCTAGACCAGTGAAAGTGCCCGTGAGTCAGTCAGGGTCTCGGTAGAAGCTGTTAGTTGAAATCATTTGAGTTCCGTTTGTAAGACCATCTGTAGCTTGATGACCTTGATTCTAGAGGAAACAAATTTGACAAGAAGTTTAAAGATACAGGACAAAAAGTGAGTAACAGCAAGATGGCTGCCGGGACCTAGGAAGAAGCCATGTTGCCCAACTCCAGAGGTTGGTGTAGAGTTTGAAAGGTGTTGTCTGATTTCAAAACTCAGAGCCCAGCTGGCTTCGTCGGGCATCATCTCCTAGTATCCCTTACTGGTTAGTGTAAAAAAACACTCTTCCCCTAAGAAGGCGCAGAGTCCTCCTGCTCAGCAGTGAGGAGGTCAGGCCTCAGCAGTCTTGGAGAGTCGTTGCTGCTAAAGTCTATTTGGGATTAGCAAAGTAAGGATAAATTTCTTTATTTCTTGCAAACTGAAATCCTTTGAGAGTGTGTGTGGTAGTAGGGTAATGGAGTAGATAAACTGGCTGTTCAGTTCCTGTAGCAGTAATATTCGTAACCCTGTAAGTAGGGTATTAGTTGTATGGCTCTGCACTGATGGACTTGAGCTTTGAGGGGTACTGATAAGGTTTGATTTCCTGGGGCAATGTTAATGTTGGAACTGAGAAAGACTAAGGTGCAGGTGCCTGTCAGTTAGTGGGAGGCAGACATATGTCGACATTCCACATAAGAATATACCTTGGCTGGGTAGATAGAAATTTACCCTGGCTTTTTTAAAGAATAAGTCATTTTTCTTTACTACTTCCATCTCTCTTTCTTTCTCTTCGACTTCTCCTTTGTCTCTCTCTTTCTCTCTGACTCCCTCTTTGTCTCTTCCTCTCTTTCCTTCGACTTTCTGTCTCTCTGTCTCTTCCTCTGTCTCCCTCACTTTGTCTCTCTGTCTCTTCCTTTCTGCTGGTCTTTCCCTGCCTCTGCCAGCCACTTATGCTGCTGTTCTCCCCTCTTCTTCCTCCTTTTGATGGCTGCAGCAGTGTAAGACTGCCACCTCTTTGGAGTTTTGCACTGTATGCAATAACTCCGCAGTTTCCTTTGAAGCTGGGGTTCCCAGAGGTTAGGAACTCCCTTTCTTTCCATATTGCAGCATGGACATGTAGGATTAGATAAGTATACTTGCTATCTGTATACACATTTATTATTTTTCGCTTTCCCAGTTCTAAGGCTCAGGTAAGTGCCACTAGTTCTGCTAACTGGGCACTGGTCCTGGGGGAAAAGGCTTACTTTCAAGTACAGTTACATCACTAAATATGGCATTACCTGCCCTTTGTATCCCATTCTCCACAAGTGAACTTCCATTGGTATATAGGTTAAGGTCAGGATTATGCAGGGGACTTTTTTTTTTTTTTTTTTGAGACGGAGTCTTGCTCTGTGCCCAGGCTGGGGTGCAGTGGCCAGATCTCAGCTCACTGCAAGCTCCGCCTCCCGGGTTTCGCCATTCTCCTGCCTCAGCCTCCCGAGTAGCTGGGACTACAGGCGCCCGCCACCTCGCCCAGCTAGTTTTTGTATTTTTTAGTAGAGACGGGGTTTCACCGTGTTAGCCAGGATGGTCTCGATCTCCTGACCTCAAGTGATCCACCCATCTCGGCCTCCCAAAGTGCTGGGATTACAGGCTTGAGCCACGCGCCCGAAGCCAAGAGACTTCTAAGAAATCATCTCGGCATAAGTCTGGACTATAATTTGTTGCTTGATCACGCTCAATTGGTTCCCATCCTCTGGGAGAAAAGTGGCAGGGTTGAGGGAGCCACGCATACGTATTTGAGCCGATCCCCAAAGTGAGGTACCTGGTATCTAAGTAGGTGGTTGTCTGATAGCCATAAACTTCCTTTGGCACCTAGTATGCCATTTGCATCATGAAGTAGTCAGACAGTGAGATCCTTTCCTTGTATTATTCTGATAGCCTCTGACACTAAGGCGGCCACCCCCCGCCTGACTACCCATAAACAGTGAGGCCAGCCTATTGCTGCTACATCAGTTTCCTTACTTAGGTATGCCACTGGTTGTGGGGTTGTCCCATGAGTCTGAGTAAGGACTCCAAGAGCTATCCCTGCTCTCTCTGCGACATATAGAGAGGTTTTGTCCTGTGGGAAGGCTTAAAACTGGAGCTTGTACTAGGGTCTGCTTTAAGGTTTTAAAGGCTGTTTCTGCCCTAGTTCCCATTCTACTAGATGAGTATCTGCCCTCTGGGTCTCCTTGATTAGAGTACACAGGGGCTTGGCTATCTCACTGCATCCAGGGATCCATAGTCAGCAAAAGCTGATAATTCGAGACCCCCTGCAACTGTTCTAATGTCTTAGGGTGAGGATAAGCCAGTATAGGCTATATTTATTCCTTGCTAAGGGCCCTGGTCCCTCTGGCTAAGATTAGGCCTAGATATTTGACCTGCTGTAGGCAAAATGCGACCTTACGACCTGAACACCTTGTGCCCTTGATACCTAGAAAGTTCAAGAGATTTAGAGTAGCCTGCTGGCATGAGGTTTCTGAACTAGTAGCAAAAAGTAAATCATCCACATACTGAAGGACCAGAGTGCCTGGACTTGAGAAGTGGCCTAGATCTTGGGCCAGTGCCTGACCAAACAGATGAGGGCTATCCCTAAACCCTTGGGGCAAGACCATCCACACAAGTTTGGGATGTGGTCTGTAGGATCCTCAAAGGCAAGAGAAACTGGGAGTCAGAGTGCAGGGGAATACAGAAGAGAAGGCATCCTTGAGATTCAGAACCATGAACCATTCTGCTTCCTCTGGTATTTGAGGGAACAGGGTATAGGGATTGGGTACAACCAGATATAGAGGAATTACTGCCTCATTGATGAGTCTAAGATCTTGCAGTAGTCTCCACTGACCGTTCGGTTTTTGTACTGCTAGAATTGGGGTGTTGCAGGGACTGCTGCATTTCATTACTAAGCCTTGAACTTTTAGATGTTTACTTAATACCCTGTAATCCTTTACTTGAGCTTCAGGTCTTAAGGGATATTGCCTTTGATAAGGAAAAGTGGTAGGATCTTTTAGCCTGATTTGGACTGGGCAGGCATTTTTTGCACTTCCAAATTTTCCTTCTAATGTCCAGACTTCAGGGTTGATTCCCTCCTCAAGTAGGGGACAACAAATGGTACTTGTTCCCCATATTCATGTAGATAATAGCTCAGCCTTGGCTAATATATCCCTCCTAATAAGGGTGCAGGACTTTCAGGCGTAACAAGAAAGGCATGTGAAAAGAGCAAAGTCTCCCAATTACAGCTGAGAGGTGGGAATACCTGATTACAGGCACATCCCAGGATTCCTCGGATGGTAACTGACCTTGAGAACAGTCATCCAGGACAGGAGATTAACACTGAAAGCCCGCCAGTGTCAGGAGAAGTCAATTTTCTGGCTCTCGATGGTTAAACGTACCCGGGGCTCCATTGAGGAATGACATGAGCTGGCGCTTGCCGGGTGCACCCTCAATCCTGTTGTTGGATCATCTGGTTGGGGGCTTCTGACCCAGAACCGTCCTCTGAGGCAGTGCACCTTCCAATGATTCCTCAGCATGATGGACATGGAATAGAGGGCAGCTTGTTTCTCATTGGATAACCTTCCTGAAGTCAGTTCAAGTAGCCGCATTAAGGCCCTCTCAAATGATTCAATATCATTTCCTATCTCTGTTGCAAGTTTCCTCTCTCAGAAACGCGAACAGTATTTTGCTTTCTCCTCTCTCATTTTTCCCTCAATCTTATACTTCCAGTCCTGTTATAGAGACACCGGGTTCGGGTGTGGCCTCCACACCTGACGCGAAAGCCTGCAGTCCTCCTCAGTATCGCAAGCGTTGCCAGCCAAACATATTTAATCAGTCATTTCAGTCGATTTCAACAGCGTCTCATACACCAAAGGCACTCCATAGCAGCCAGAGCGGTGCTGCTCCAGCACCCTCGATTGCGTCAATCATTAATTATGGCTTTTTCCTAATTCTTGGCCTTCGAAACCGCGAAATCGGCGAGGGCGCGACCGCGATGCAGTCGAATCTTTGTCAAAAGTCACATATCAAGTCTTGCCATGCAACATTTCAAATCGCTCACGCTTTCGCCACGGCGCTGTTGCATTTGCTCATTTAAAATGCGAAAATATCTCGAAATATCAAGCAAACAAGCCTTCTTTCAAGCTAAACCGAGGGTTTCGAGGCGATAACGTCGGCATCCTCTCCAGAGCGAAGTCGAGGGCCTCTTTCAGCCTCAGGCGTCAATAACTGTCAGACAATCCTGAAATTATTAGAATCTGCCAATTTACTTTAAATCAGAAGAGAAGGGGACATGTACCCAGGTTGAGGTCAAATTCCCCTCCCCTACAGCAGAGGGACACTAACCGATAGTCTGCGGGGTTTTGTGGTCCCTTGGAGATTTCTTTGCTTATTTTCTTCTGGGCAGGGGAGATTAGAGGAGGATTGTCATTAATAGAAAGGGAGCTATAAGGGAGGCTAGGATATGGGGGAGTAAGCTAAGAGGTCCTCTGTGGGATGTAAATTGCAAGCTTTTGCATAGTTGTATATTCTGTTTCAATGAAAAGAAAACTTGGATATAAGGTATTTCCTCCATTTTGCCTTCCCTCACTTACAGAAAAGGTCAAGCTGCAGGGCAGTATTGTAATTTGTACTTCCCTCAGGTGGCCATTTTTCCCCATCAGAGAGAATATCGGCGCCAGGCCGTACTGCAAAAGCCAGGCCACCTCTTTTTCAGGGTTTGAGGTCAAATTGGTCCCAATGGCTTAGGAT